AATCTGGGCCAACTGGGTGGGCTTTTAAACCAAGAGTCAGAATCTTCGGGAGCTTGTAGATTTCTAGGTTGTAGAGGGAAGGGGATGACAGCTTCCTTAAAAGAAAAATTCATTGGCACTCAATGTTTTAATTTCACTTTTGCTAACTAACAGTTTGGGTGAGATTCATCTGATTTGGAAGTTGCCCTAAGAGTCCAGGTTCACTTGAAGCCCAGCTCAGAGGTCCTAAGTGGTTGGGTTTAGCTCAGTGGCTCTCAAGCAGGGGTGATTTTGCCCCCTCACCCTGGAGGGACAATTGTCAATGTCTAGAGACATTTCCCATTGTCATGAACGGAGGAGCACCAGTAAGCAGAGGCCAGGGATGCCGCTAAACACCCTCTGTGAACAAAGAACCATCTGGGGCCAAGTGTCCACAGCACTGCAGCTCAGAAGCCCTGCTGGATAAAGACAGCAAAGAGCACCAAAGGGGCAGCTTATCCTCTTACGAGCGCCTTCCAGGTAAAGGCCTCCCTGTGGGTCTCAGCCAAGAGCTGCACCTCACAACAAGGATCACATGCTTCGCACGATTTCTGGTTAAGATCTTTTTTTTTTTTTTTACATCTTTATTGGAGCATAATTGCTTTACAATGGTGTGTTAGTTTCTGCTTTATCTGGTTAAGATCTTGTCTTTTCATCACTAACTAGTAAGGGTGGGATGGTCTATAATTCCCTCAAATTATAGAAATTGAAGAATTCCCAGGGCTGAGTTTTGGGGGCAGGAGGTGGGGAGTAAGAGGAACACGGTGTCTGCAAACATTTCGGGTTATTGCAATCCCCTCTCATAGTGCATATCCTACCCTGCTTCCCTATCTCTAATTATTCATCCTATTTCTCCCTGAAAGAATCTTCAGACATGGCTGGAATGACATATTCTTTCAATCTTCCTCTCCAAGGTAAATCTGCTAGGCCAGCTGTGACTTGTGCTATGCGGGAATGAGATACTTTAGCTGCCTCTTCCTAAACTGAAAGGCACATGGGGGACAAATGAGAAGCAATGGACACGCTCGTGTCCGCCAACTTACTACATCAGGAAGCACGGTGGTAAGACAACAATGTAAGTAAGTCCCAGCCCTGAAAAGGCACATATGCAGCCCTCGAGCCAAGTCAGGGAATGAAAGCCTGGCCTGCCACAGCACCTCGGAACCACTTTCATCGTGCAGCTTGTCTGCCCGGCTCCCTGCATTTCTCCTAGAAACACGGTAATACCAACAAGCAGACGCCTGCGGGTAGTTGAAACAGAGGCCTAACCAGTTCAGGGATTCGCATCATATAAATCTTTGGCAGTTATCATTTCAATGCCTCCAAACTCTAAATCCACCCTCCTTTGCCCTGCTTTGTGAAATGGGAACTGGACCCTGTAAACATTTCTCCTTTGCTAGCTGGTGCAATGTTAGGCTTTGTCAATAGAGGGAGCTGGAGAGACAGGCCGGGCACAGCAGAGGAAGTGGCTTGTCTTCTGGTTCGGGTGGCTTTTCTGCCCGGCGTGTGTCTACCAGCAGCGTGCAGGAGGCCCAGGGGCACCCACTCTTCAGCAAGCATCCTCAATCACCCAGAGGGCTGCAGGCCAGCTCCACCCTGCCGGCGCTCTCCATGAAACCTCAGCCACCTGGTGCGGGGATCCACTGGCTCTGGTCCACCTGCGCCCTCTAGCCAGTGTAGGAGCACAACACTGCCAGGCTGCTTCTGCAGACCTGCTGCAGCCCACAGCCTCTGGCAAGTTTGTTTACCCCCAGTAGCTTGTGGGTCCTGTGGTGGATACACCTTCAACAAGGTAAGGCTTCATGGGGTGTGGTCTTCTCCAGGCTGCCTTGCTTGTAACCCTCAGGCCCAACCAACAGGCCCCGAGGTACAGCTGTCTCACTCACGCCCTGGTGGAGGCCCGGGGAAGCCACTCAGATCTGCACCTACGGGGCCAGGGTATGTCCATTGCAAATGTAAGCACCACCAGCTGTTTTAATGGTTTCATATTTATTTAATAATTAATGAAACTGACCTTTTACCGAGATTGCTCTGCTCCCTCCCCACTCCCCCACTCCCATCTGCTCTTCCCTGCAGCCCTCTCCTCCTTGCTCTGGAGCAGCCATCGTCGTTAATAACACACCCCTCAGACCCTTTCTCTAATCACGCCCCCTCTCTTCTCTGACCATAACGGAAGCTTGCCCCCTCTCCTCCACCAGGACTCCAGACACAAGGATCAGTCTGTACAAGACCTGGCAGTGAAGAGGGTCCGTTCCACCCAGGGACCTACAGGAGGTTCCGGATGCCAAAGGGCCCGGAGAAGTGTGACCCAGCTGGAGGGCACACCAGGGGTCAGGTCCCACTGCCCCTGAAGCCCTCTGGGGCAGGAGCTGCTTGTTTTACCCACACTCCACAGATCCCGTGGTCCGCGCACTCTCCAGGCCACCTCCACACCATGGTCCTCCACCCTGCTGTGAACTCTGACCCCTCTGCCTGGGCCTCCCCCGCCTGCACTGGGAGGTGTCCTCCAGGAGCCTTGCATCACAGATGACTCTGGCGCCCACCCCGCTGAAGGTCCTCCTCCCCACCTCCAGCCTGAGCCTCCCGCCTCCTCAGCTTCCTGTCCCCACCTCATCGCTCCACCTGAGTTGGCTTCCAAACACACGCCAACTGTGTCCTTTCCCACTCGAACTGCTTGTGTGAGGTTAACAAACGAGGTATTGATGGTAAGGCCCCAAGAAACTCCTCAGTCCTTATTTTCTCTATTTACAGTCTCTTCCATGCACTCATTGAAAGGCTTCCAGCCCCTTTCTCATTAGTATAAATCAGGACACATCCAATTCCCATGTTAATTCTAAGATGCCCTGAACGATGGATTAGAGAAAACGGCCAGGATGGGGTAGTGATGGGATCACAGGCTCAGATGGCACTACCTGGCTCCACAGGCATGATGCTACCACCGACCAGCCGTGAGGCCTTGGGCAAGATATCTGGCTTCACTGTGCCTCAGTTTGCTTATCTGTGCAATGGGAATAATCATAATTTCTCCCTCATAGGGCTACCATGAGCTTTAAGTGAACTCAAATGTGTAAAGTGCCCGGGCACGTAGTAAGCATCTGGTAAGAGTTAGCTACTGTCATAACCATTATTGTTATCATCCGAGTGTGAGATAGCTGGACGGCAGCTGTAAAAATGGTGGCTGAGCCTGGACCCCGTTTGTGTGATCCTGTTCTTGGTCTTCAGGTTGTACGGTGGCCTCAGCCCCACGTTTTGTCCTTTCTGTGTTCCATCTCCGTTTGCACTTCAGGGCCTAGCATTTGCTAAGTGGAGACCAGACAGATTCACAGAGCTAAAGGCCCTAGTCGTTGGGGCAGCGGGTGGCTTCCCCTCCTTTCTTGCTAGAGCCACACTGAGGTGCTTCTAGGCCTTACGGGGTGAGTGCCAGGTCTCCTCTGAGCCTCTCCTCACCCTCCTGCCTTCAGTAGACCTTGGCTGCTGCACCTCCAGCACTGGCCTGCCGTCTCTCTGTTCCCATCAGTCTCCCCTGCCTCCGTGTCTGCACTGCTGGTTGGAACCGAGTTTCCTTCCCTCCGTTTCCAGGGCTCAGCCCAGGGCCTGGCACTCAGGAGGCCCTGGCACTCAGGAGGCCCTGGCACTCCGGAGGGCCTGGTGAGTAGGTCAGTGCCAGGTGGGCCCTGTGCTTCCAGGAAGGACTAGGTGCCTGCATGCCAAGTGTGCCACGGCCGCCTTCAGGACGAGACTGGGGCTGGGGGAGGGTGGGAAGTCTCTCCATATCCCGGTGAGGGAGCCAGATGTAGAGACTGCAGGGAGGCGGGACTGCTCCTGGGAACCAGAGGCTTCCAACCTCAGGGTGGATCTACGTCGAGGGCCTGGCTGACTTGAAAGCAATTGCCTCAGGGCTTCTCCTTCCTGAAATAGGGCTCTGTGCTTCTAAACTCACCGACTAATCTAGCAAGAATATTTAAGGGCTGAATGTGAGAACCTGCTACAAGGAAATGGGATTCACGCTGAGGGGACAGCTGAGTCCAAGGGGGAGCCACAGATAAGGAGTCGGGAAATGCTGGGCCCCAGACCTCGAGACCTCGGGCTGACAGGGCCAGAAGTGCTGCTATTAGTGGTGGGGATGGAGAGGGCATGCGAGCAGCTGCCAACTCCAGGTATGGGCTAGGAACAAGGCACTGCTCTTTCCTAAGGCTGACATGGCTTAAGGGGAAGCCTGCAACTCAAATGGAAATTCAGATGTTTGGGCGCTGCTTCGTGCTCCCTCCCCGAGTGCGCTGTTGGCTGTCTCTCTCTGGGGACAGCACTGCGGGAAGACGGGCACCAGCTCGGGCTTCTTGCCAGCCCCACGGTCCCTTCTGAGCCCCTGCCATGTGACATGGAACCCTGACCCTGGCAGACACGCTGAGGGGGTCCATTAAATACCTGCAGGGTGAGCAGTGGTAAGGGCTCCTGGGAAGGGCACCACAGGAAGTGGTTACTTAACCCTTTATGGCCTGAGGTTGTACAAACAAAGCTAGGCGAGATGTTCTTACGTGGGATAGGATCCCTCTTTTAATATTAAAAAGTGAACTTTACGGTGTTTATTACTTACACAATTTATTTACACAATTGGTCATCCCTATAACCTATACTTCTCTAGTTTTTTGAAATAAGACTATAGGATTTTTGACTTGGGCGACCTAAAAGTCCTTGCCAAGGGCCATAAAGGGTTAAAATAGCATTCAGATGACATCAGCGCAAGGGAGTAGAGTCCCAGAGCCTCGAAAATGATAAAGTCAATCCACAAAGCCGAGGTCTAGGCAGCCAGTCTCTTAGGGACACGATTGGCCTCCAGATAGCCAGAGAGAAGAGGCGCTTGGAAATCTCCAGACCTGGTACCAGGATTCTGGGAGCTTGGGGCTCAGACCCCCAAACTCAGAATGTTCAGAAAGCATCTTTGCTGACGCTCCCAGGCATTCTTTCCCTCCTTCCCCACCTACCGAACCCTGGAGTCCTGTTGGCAAGACTGGAGTAGGCGTTCCCGCTGGGCGAGGAGGTGGCTGGACTGGAGAGAGGACTGTAGGAGGAGGGGTCGGCCGGGTAGGTGTGGCTCGTTCCAATCCCAAAGGGAGAAGACTGAGTCTTGCTGGACTGGGAGGGGATTGGCTGCAATCGGGATGAAGCACAGAGATGGAGAGCATCAGCAGCAGGTGTACCCGGTCCACAGCCTGGGCTGGTCACTGCCACCCGCAGCAGCAGTCCCGCCCTGGGCCGATAGCGGCTCCAAAGGCCCTCCTGGGCCTGCTGGGCACAAGGCCTTGGATCAGGCCACTGTGTGCCGGCCCAAGAACCACAGCACTGGGGCCCTGCATCTTTGGGGCAGGTCTGGTTGACATTCATGCCCAGGGCTACAAGGATCTAGGTCCTCTGCCTTCTGCTTATGGGACCTTGGCAAGGACTCCCTCAGCCCAGAGGACAGCCGTCCTCACAGCGACCACACGGAGCCGCGTGTGTCCCAGCGCTGATGTTCTCACACACTCCTGGGCCAGGGAAATGCAGGTCCCGAGCGATCAGGCTCGCTCCTGATCGAGGACCTCTGTGCGCCCGCCCCTCCCCCAGGTTCCCCAGGACTTCCCCGAGACTGCCGGGAGAAAAGGCTGCTGAAACCGGATTCGGTACCATTGCTGGGGACCCAGTTCTCAAAGTACCCTTAGGGTGGCCAGTGCTCCTGGGAGCCTGGCTGCGTTCGGGGTGGGCAGCTGCAAGCTCAGAGTGCCGCCCCTTCTCAGAGCTGGGATGCAAAGTAAGCACAGCCCAGGTGCTCTGCACCCTCTGGGCACCTGGGGGCAGTGCCCTCACCGACACCCATACCTGTCCGGGAAAGGGCGGCCGACTACCCGCCCACGCCACCTGACTCTGGTTTAGCTGCCGGGAGATTTGGGACATGTTCTGGCTCGTCGAGGAAGAGGACTGGATGTCGTTCACGCCAGGCACGTGCACCACCGAAGAACTGCAAGGGAAGAAAACGCATTCGTCCCGGGGAGACGCCCCAGCTCCACGCGCCCTGTCCCGGGCCACCTCTCCCGGAGCACACCGCTCTCTCCCACCGGAGCTGTGCATCACTGGATCGAAGGCCCTCAGGGGGAGCCCCCGGTCTTCCTTCTCTCCCCCGGGGCTCCCTCAACCCACCACTGCTGCCTCTTTTTCCCCACAGGGTCTCCCCCTCACTCCTCTACGAAGCCCCAATCCCACCCCTCTGTGTCTCTTGCTTTCAACGGATGATTCCCAGGAAGAGAGCAGCTTCTTGGAATAAAAATCAGTCTTGTTGTTAACTTGCTCTCTGTGCTCTGGTTAATTTGTTCCTTTGGGGCACCTATAAAGCTTAAGGATTCAGGAAATAGGCCACAGGCTTTCAGAGAAAAGAGCCTGTCAGTGGAAGCCTGCTGGGTGGGGCCTGGACCTGCCCGCCCCCATCCCAGTGCAAACTGCTGTTTACCTCTTTTGACCCTTCAGTGAATCTTCAGTTGAATCCAACGAGTCCTTAGTAGACACCCGCTGTGTGTGTCACCCGTACTCCCTGCCTGTCCTCCCGCAGGCTCAGTCCCTGACCGCTGTCTCTGCCCCTAGGCCTGCGCTGGCTGCACTGCTAGGCACGGCTTCTGTGAGATTTTCCCAGTTCCGCCAGTTATACAACAAGCTCATTACAGATAAAGGAGACCAGGGAAGACTTGCGTTTCGTTTCAGGCTCTTCCTCCTGCCTCCCCAGGGCCAGCTCCGCACAGGCAGAGTGCTGGGTGCCCACGAGCGAATCACGGAAGGCCTGGGTGGAGGTGGGTTTTCAGCCAGGTTGTAAAGAATGGAAGGTTATAGACCAGTAAAGAAGACCGGGTACCGTTTCACTAATTGTATTACAATATGTTTTCCATGCTATCCGGTCCCTCTTAAAATAAGGAGAACTCAAAGATGACAAGACATTCCTGCACTAACCACGATCAAGGGGAACTTCATTCCCATCCTCCTGAAAGCACTTCCTCACTTAACACAGGACTCCTTTCCCATTCTCCCTCCTGATGAATGTGTGAGCTCGGAGGGCCTTTTCTGATCACTGTTCCCTGGGGCAGGGTGGCCCTCGGTGCCCTGCCAGCACTGATTGGAGAGCTGGCAGAAGCCCTGTGGGTCCAGGGAAAGGTGCCCTGGCTAACGTACGCACAGGGCCCACGGGACCACAGCAGGACTTGGGCTGGGGACGTACTTAGGGATGTGCTGCCACATGGTGGGGGCTCAGGGTCATCCATCCCATAGCCCTTCCCACTCAAACCAGCTCAGGCCCTGCAGATTTACAGGAAACTGCCCATCCCACAGGCGTAAAGCCTCATGCATTCTTTAATTATTATTATTATTTATAAATTTATTTGATTGATTTACTTTTTATTTTTGGTTGCGTTGGGTCTTTGTTGCTGCATGAGGGCTTCTCATTGCGGTGGCTTCTCTTGTTGCAGAGCACGGGCTCTAGATCGCGGGCTCAGTAGTTGTGACGCACGGGCTCAGTTGCTCCGCGGCATGTGGGATCTTCCCAGCCCAGGGCTCGAACTCATGGCGCCTGCATTGGCAGGCGGATTCCTAACCACTGCGCCACCAGGGAAGCCCTCTTTAATTAATCCATCCATTCATTCTATAGACCAGTATCTAGTGAGTGCCTCCCCAGTGCCAGGCTCCACACGGAGGCTGGTGTCCCCCCCGGACTCCTTCCTTACACAGCTGTCCAGATACCAGCCTGCCTTCCCTTCTGGTAACCGCCCTCCACCCTGTCCTGCTCTTTTGTTTCTGTGATGACAGTCCACACAGGCACAGCACCTCCAGCTGGACCGTCTCACTCCTCCACTGCGCCCCCCGCACCCCTGCCACCCTGAACTTTCTCCAGGACTCTGCTTCCTCAAGTGCCTCTTCTCCCACAAGTCATCAGTGATGGAGTCTGAACTCCCGGGCGTGGTATTCAAGGCCTCCGAGGTCTCGTTCCGTTTCTCCCAGACTCGAGGCCTCCCCATCTCTCCTGATCCCTGATGGCTGGGTGCCCGCCCTGGCAGCAGGTGGCCACCTGACTTTTGCTTCTGGGCGGCCCTCCTGCCCCCTGCCACGCTGCCTCGGACTGTCCCTCCTCACCTCTGGCCTCTGCTCCGTCCCTGCTGCCCTCTGTCCAGACGGCAGGGGGTTGGGGGGGGAACAGCAAGTGTTATGAGGACTCGGTGAACACGGGCCTGGGCTGGCACACAGCCTGGCACGGAACTACAAGTGGTCACCGTGTGCTGAGTGCATGAGTAACACAGCAGCAGGGCAGAAGTCTGGAGCCTCGGCCAGCGCTCAGCAGAGCGGGGAGACCGGCAGTGATGACGGCTCAGGAGCAGCTCACTGGGGGTTGTCGTCTTGTCCTCCTGTCCCCAGACCAGAGAGTCGCTGCCTGTTCAGAGACTCAGAACAGGTTGCAATCCAGCGAGGCCCAGCTGCACGGCTGGTCAGAGCCACTCCAAGATTTCAGAGGCTGCTGTTCCAGGGCACAGCTGCCGAGCTACCTGCTGCTTCCCCAGGAGGTCTGTCCGTGGACCAGTGTGGAAGCATGAGCCTCATCCCCTTAGAGGGCAGTCCCAGCCCGGACCTCTCCCTGGGATGGCTGGTCCCACCTGCCCAGTCTTGGTCCCTGCCTGCATCTTATCTGAAAACTCAGCTCTGGCCAAGTCAGCCAGAGGCTGGGCTGTGTGAGAAGCCCCACCCTCCCGGGCACGCATTTGAGATGCTTCGCCTAGCGAGTCTGCGGGCATCTGACGCTCACGTGGGTACCCCCACACCCTCCCTGAAGGCTGCGGGTCTCTCCTCTAGCCATTCTCCCCAGCCTGTGCTCCTGTTTCCCCGGCAGGCAGTGGAGCCAGGCCTTGCCTCCAGTGGTACTGTCGTGGTGGTGTTGTCACAGCTTCCTCTGTGACCTACAAGAGGTCCCTGATGCTAAGAACCAAGCTGTGGGAAGGCCAGACATCCTGCTTGTACCTCCCATGAGTGGCCCTGTAGGCTGAGACCCCAGGCATGATGGGCCAAGCTGTCCTCTCCCCCTTGGGGTTGGCCATGGCCTCAGAACCAGGGAACAGGGCACTGTCTGCTCCCTTGTCAGGTGTCCCCAGCTCTGCCCCATCTGGGTCCTGGCTAGAGGCCACCTCACTCCCTTCTCCCCGGCAGGCACCGCTACACAACGCAGTGGCTGGCACCTTTCACATCCGATACAGAGTTAACTGACCCCGTCACTTACGGTGACTCACCTAGGGCTCACAGGGCAGAACCGGAGCCACCGGACTCCTGAGCCTGGCCCGGGCATGTGGATGCGTAAGCACGAAGTGAGGTCTGTAGTATTTGTTGCACGCAGAGCCAAGCTCTGAGACCCAGGGCTTCACTGGGTAGGGGGGCCTCTTCCTCCTCTCTTGCCCCGCTGCCCGCCCCCACCAGGTACCTGAAGGCCTTTCCCGAGTGTCCCGGGGGAAACGGGCTGCCTTGGGAGTAGATCTGCTGAGTTCCTGCCGCAGAAGCCGAGCTCATCATCTTCTTCTCCGCTGGGAAAAGCAGAGCAAGGGTCACATTGGAGGAGTTCCCGCCCTGCAGACCCCAGGGCAGGGAGCCCCGAGCACAGATGCAGGGGTGGCGTGCACAAGCAGGAGGGCACAGGCCCTGGGCGGCCCAGCCCATCCCATGCAGCCCGCCCCGCCCTGATCTCTGCAGCTGCTCCTGAGGGCCCCCGGCTGTTCCCTGAAGCCTCAGCTGGGCCACAAGCTGTAAGGCAGGCTCTTTCCGAGAGCCGGGAAGATGAAAAGAACTAAAGAGGGTTCTTCCTCACACAGTATTTTACGAAGTTCTTCTCGCCTGGGGTGGGTATGATGCCTCTCATTTTTATTTTTTTTAAGACTTTTTTGATGTGGACCATTTTCTTAAAAAAGTCCTCATTGAATTTGTTACAATATCGCTTCTGTGTTATGTTTTGGTTTCTTGGCCACAAGGCATGTGGGATCTTTTTATTATTATTATATGTTTGTGCTTTTTTTGGGGGGGGCTGCACTGGGTCTTCGTTGCTGTACACGGGCTTTCTCTAGTTGCGGCGAGCGGGGGCCACTCTTCGTTGTGGTGCGCGGGCTTCTCATTGCGGTGGCTTCTCTTGTTGCAGAGCACAGGCTCTAGAGCACAGGCTCTAGAGCGCAGGCTCAGTTGTTCCACAGCATGTGGGATCTTCCCGGCCCAGGGATCAAACCCGTGTCCCCATAACTGGCAGGCGGATCCTTAACCACTGGACCACAAGGGAAGTCTGCCATGTGGGATCTTAGCTCCCCGACCAGGGATCGAACCTGCACCCCCTGCACTGGAAGGTGAAGACCTAACCACTGGACCGCTAAGGAATTCCCGATACCTCTCATTTTATGCGTGAGAAGGTGCAGAGCCATGGTTAAGAGGACAGGCTCTAACGTCCAGCTCTGCCCTATTTATCTGGGGTGTGGCCTTGGACATGTTATTTAACCTCCTCCTGTCTCCGTTTCCCCGAGTGAAAGATGGTGATAATGATAGTAGCTTCCTCATAGGGCTGTGGTGGGAATTCAATGAGTTAGCATAAGTTAAGTGCTTAGAACAGGGGCCAGTATCAGAGCCAACAGCATTTAAATGTTTGCTATCGCTTGCTAGTGTGGAAACTGAGGCTCAGTTTGTCCAAGCTCATGAGCCAGTGAAGGAGGACTTAGAGCTTGAATCCAAGTCCAGCACTCCTCCCACTGGCCCAGAACCCTGCCTGACCCCGCTGCCCTAACCCAGCAGGTGCTCCAGCTAACCTGGAGCAGCCCCGACCTGCGTTCCTTACCCTTCCACGAGGGTTTCTTTGAGAGGCCAAGCTCCTCATACAAGCGAAAACACTCAGACCCAGGCAAGATGCGTAATAGTGGACGCTTTTCTGCCACCATGGAGTGCTAAGTAGAAAACTCAGCTCAGCAGTCTCTCCCACAAGAGAGGCTGAAGAAATGGGCTCAAATCCCAGCTGGGCTGTGAGATCTTAACACGAGGAAGAGGGTGGTAGTTTGAGAAACAGGAGTGGGAACGGGAGCCTTCTCACTCCCTCTGGTAATTGAGGGGTCCAGGGCTCTCCAAAGCACCCTCCCAACTTCCCTAGAATCTCAAAATCCCTACGCATCTTATTCCTATAGACCCTAACATCCCTGCTTGCAACAAGATCTTGGAATAAAGGATATAAAGGCAATTATTTTGCGCCTGGACAGACCCCACGTCTGCACCTGTCTCTGGCTTGCTGGTGGGGGGATGGGCGGAGCGGGTGGATCCTCCATTGAGTGAGCGTGAGAAGTGATGGACGCTCAGGCTCACAGGCTTGGGGCCCAGAGAGCTGGCTTCAGGGGCCATGTGACAAATCACCCACACGTGTCAACAAACCTCTGTGACGTTTTGAGAAACCGGAGGCACTGAGCAGTTTTCCTGGTCCATTTTCTTTTGCTGCAGTGACGGGGTGCTCATTGGGAAATCCTTACAGGATGGAAAGAGATCAGACTCTTGGGTGTGTATTGCTAACCCGATCATAAGGCCTTGAATCTTGGAGAGAAAGAGATGAGGCTAAAAGTTGCATGAGTTAGGAAGACTTCTGGACTTCTCTTGACTATAAACAAGCCACTTTTTCTCATGTATTTAAGGTTTTTCGGTGGTTGGTTAAATAAGAAACATTTTTTTTCTAAATGCTCCAGGACATCTGTGGGGTACAAAATTACATCTATCTATCTATCTATCACTTTATATATATATATATATATATATATATATTTATATATATATACATAAAATTATTCAGTATTCCATATCTTTATTATTTTGATCTACATGATTTGCTAGAGATGAAGAAAGGCATATTGAAATCTTCTGCTATAATCTGGCTTTGTCAGGATCTCTTATGTTTCAAACTATTTTTGGATTTCACATTTCATCGTTCATGACATTTATATCTTCATTTTAGGTTCCATCTTTTTTTTTTTTTTTTTTTTTTTTTTTGCGGTACGCGGGCCTCTCACTGTTGTGGCCTATCCCGTTGCAGAGCACAGGCTCCGGACGCGCAGGCTCAGCAGCCGTGGCTCACGGGCCCAGCCGCTCCGCGGCACGTGGGATCTTCCCGGACCGGGGCACGAACCCGTGTCCCCTGCATCGGCAGGCAGACTCTCAACCACCGCGCCACCAGGGAAGCCCTAGGTTCCATCTTTTACCTGTATACAATAGGCTTCTTTCTCTGCTTTCCTCCTTGTTTTTGGAGAGCATCATCACCACCCGCTCTTTCCGGTTCCATACTTTCATTTCATCTTGTTTTGGTTATATCACATTTTGGCACCATACTATTCAAGAATTATCCGTCAGAATCCCTTGAGCATCAACTTATTTCATTACTTGTGCTATTCATATTTTCTTGCTCTCTCTTTATTTTTCTCCTGAGTGTTTTGCAAGTTGCTAAAAATTTCCTTGTCTTTTCTTGGAAGTGGTTTGGAGGCGAGACCTCTTTCCTTCCATCTTTTTTTCTTTTTTTTTCCCATCCATTAGTGGTTATGTTTAAACATACTTGAAGTTATATGTCAGAGATAAAATAGTATAGACTGATGAGAAATGTCTGTTTCTAGTCCCCTGATCCAAAGTATGTATCTTTGCTGAATTGACTCTGGTTTTTATTTTTAAATATCTTTTTTATCTTCTAACAATGTTATATTAATTCCAGGTGTCACTTAGTTTCACTTTTTCATCGCTACTTCTTTTCCAACCTATCACTTCCATTCTTGTGTTCCATATTTTGATTCATTTCACAAAAAGCACAGTCTTCTGCAAGTAATTTTTTTCCAGGAAGTATAAGTAGATGGTGCATGTCCGAGAAGGTCTTTCTGTTGCTTTTTCATATAGGAAAGCAGCTTGGTTGGTGGAAATACTCTTGGATTACATATTTTCCTTCCCTTCTTTTTCCTCTTCTGTTAATTTTTTTTCTATTTTGTCATCTTTATGGGAAAAGGTCTATGTTTGTATAATATTAAAATTTCAAATGGGTTTCCCAGAAATGCTGTGGGTATCTGACCAAATAGTTCAGGCTTATCTGAGAGGAAGAGGAACTTTTGCTATTGTTTCCTCTTGCTGGATGAAATTACGTTTCTCTATAAAAGTTGAGGAAATACCGCTGTGGGTGGGTGGCACATCTGGATGGCCGGTGGGAACCACCAGAGGGGAGCCTCCCCGTCATGCTAACAGGTCTGTTCTCTGTTGCTGTTCTAAGTTCAGGCAGCTCCAGCGCGCTCCCTACTTTCATAGCATCTGGCTCACAGCCACGTGGGCACGAGGGCTGGGGTCTTCCACTACAGGTGCTGGCAGCAGGAGGCCTGAGATCTGCTCTCTCCCAGCTGCCCGGGGCCTCTCTGTCCTCCCTGTGGCCCGTGCTGACCCCAGTTCCTTAGTCCTAGGAGGACGCTAATGGGGGTCCCTTCCCATTACTGCGTTCCCCACGCTTCCATGGCGTGAGTCGGCCGGTTTCTCCCTTCAGCTGATCCCGATAACACTGTATCTCACAGATCACACGAAAATGGAATCTTTTCCCTGAATTTTGGAACTGACAAGGACATTTCCAAGTTTTATATGTTGCTGATCTGAGCGGCAGTCTGAGTGGGCGAGTGAGGCAGCTGCACACGTGGGTTCCACGTGACACCTGAACTTTGAACAGCACCATTTTCTTTTTTTAAAAAATTTCTTATACCTTTTTATTATTTATTTATTTATTTTTGGCCGCCCCTCGCAGCATGTGGGATCTTAGCTCTCCAACCAGGGATTGAACCCGAGTCCCCTGCAGTGGAGGCACAGAGTCTTAACCACTGGACCGCCAGCGGAGTCCCAAGAATGGCGCCATTTTCTCTAACTGCAGTGCTAACACAGGTGAGCACCCCAGTGACCACCATGAAGGATGCGCCGTGGAACACCCATACAATGGAAACTACGCAGGCGGTAAATACGATTTAGACCATTTAATAATCTAGAAAGACGTTCATAATAAATTGTCATGTGAAAAAGTAAGCTACCGAACAGCAGGAGCTCGATTTTGTATATAAAAAGATTTCACATGTGCAGAAAAAGACAAAAAGGACGACTTTTAAAAAGTTAAAAAAGATTAAATCTGGGTGGTAGGATACTGGATAATTTTTATTTTCCTTTTTACTGCATATTTCTATTTTAAAATGCAGTCCTCTCTGCATTAGAGATTAAGTTGAGATTCTTTTTTTTAAATAAATTTATTTATTTTTGGCTGCGTTGGGTCTTCGTTGCTGCGCGCGGGCTTTCTCTAGTTGTGGCGAGCGGGGGCTACTCTTGGTTGCAGTGCGCTCACTGCGGTGGCTTCTCTTGTCGCAGAGCACAGGCTCTAGGTGCGCGGGCTTCAGTAGTTGTGGGCTCAGTAGCTGTGGCTCACGGGCTTAGTTGCTCCACAGCATGTGGGATCTTCCCGGACTGGGGCTCAAACCCGTGCCCCCTGTATTGGCAGGCAGATTCTTAACCACTGCACCACCAGGTAAGTCCCAAGATATATTTTTTTTTATAGGGACATGTCTTTGTCTTGATAAAACTAAATTCTACCATGATTAATAGAGCTCATTTATTCCAATTCCTCAAATTTTGAAGATGAGATGTCAGAGGCTCCAGGTTGGTTGCCCCAGGTAACGGGTAAATGAGAGGCGAGGCCAGGAGTAGAGAGGATCCACTGGAACCCCTGTATTTGGTGCTACTTTTCTACCCTGTAGAATTCGCTGTAAATTCACCCTCAAGGGTGGCTGCCTCCAAATGGCTGGACAGCGACTATAAACCCCACAATCTCACGACCTCAGCATCCTTTGGAAACTTACATGCACTGATTCCTGCAAACATCTCGGCAAACCGCGGATCTCTTTCCTGGGAAAAGATTGAGTCTGCCTTTTCCACAGACTTCCCGGCCTCGTGAACCCCGGCTGGTAGGTTGGAGACAGGAACCTGTTTGTACATGAAAACACAAGAGCATCCTGTGTGTGAGGTGCAGAGCAAACGCTCCCAGAGGTCACCTGTTTGCCTCCACCAGATCCCCCTCCCTCAGAATTGCTGGCGTTTCAGCCTTCGGTGTTGTGTAGGGCAGGAGCTTTTCTGTACAGGAAAGCCAAGAACAGACGGGCGGGGGTGTGAACGAGAGGTCACAGAAAGGTCACTGGAGTCCCACTGATCACTTGGAGAGAGATAAATAAAAATAATCAACCTAGTCTAAATATCGGGAAAAGTGAACATAAAGTTTAATTGGAGGGAGAGGCCAAATACCAACACGAGCTGCGGTTTCTCCCGCAGTGGGGCCTGGGGAGATGGGAGAAGGAAAGGGGACAGGGCGGTGAAGTGGGAGACACAGGCTGTGACCGGACAAGTGTGCTGAGAGCAGAGCGGCTCAGACTAAAGGCGGGAGAAGCAGCGAGGAGGCTGCAGGGCTGACACAGTTCAAAGCCGTGCTGGCTTAGGGTTAGGGTTAGGGTTAGACTTAGGGTTAGCTCCCACACAGCCTCTGCATCTCAGTACCAGTAAGTCCCCTCCATACGAACGAGTTCTGTTCCGAGAGCATGTTCTTAAGTCCAACTTGTTTGTAAGTCCAACAAAGTTAGCCTAGGTCCCCAACTAACACAATCGGCTCTATAGTACTGTACTGTAATAGGTTTATCATACTTTTCACACAAATACTACATAAAAAACAAACAAAACATAAAGAAGACCTTTTTAATCTTACAGTACAGTACCTTGAAAAGTACACTAGTACCAGCTACATCACTGCAGCTTTTACACTTGCTTCCGGACATCCTGGGCTTGAAATAAAGATACTGTAGGACTGTACTCTCTACTGTAAAGTACACAAAAGCACAGTCACTTGTAGAGGACGCACGCATGTGACAATGTACGCCAGACACGTGAGCTAACTTCCGTGACTGGACGTGTGAATGCACGTTCGCATCTTTGAAAGCTCGCAGCTTGAAGGTTCGTATGTAGGGCACTTACTGTGCTGGCTGACCGCGTCTCCTAGCGCTTCCTGTTTTACACTCTTCATGGCTCGGCTCGGCTCTGCATGGAAGAGTCACAGCCGACCCCCCGCCCCACTCCGGGGACCAAAATGCTTTTTGCAGGGTGGGTAGAGGGCGAGACAGCACCTCTTGAGCTGAGGGGCTCAAGCTAAGGAATAGATTTAGTCCGCAGTCCTTTGGTTGGAGACAGTTCCAACTGGGAAAGCGCTTTCCAGAAATTCACCTGCGGTAAGTCGTAGGATGACAACCCGTCTCTCTGGTGCACCTCCAATTCCGCCTGCTGCTGCTGAAGCTGCCTGGGAAACAAGGAGTCAGCAGTCACGAAGAACAGAAGTGGTGCTGACGGGGCGGAGCCACAACTGTCCCCGCTCCCCAAGGGCACAGACGGCAACGGCCGATGGATCTCTAAACTGTTCTCAGTTATGACAGATTTCATTATTTTTATGTCCCAAATCAAGACCCCAAGCCTTGTCTTTCAAGTGTAGGCCGCCAATATTTAGGAAATAAGTTTTGATTTATGACTTCATTTTATGCAGAGTAAAAGACACCAACATTAAAAGAGAAAAACATTTAAGGCAAAATTCAGAAAAGCCCAACAATGCTGTTGGCTTCAGCCAGTGCTTGTTTCCCGGTAAGCTGGTAGGAGGTGACATCATCCCATCCAAGTCTCACGCTAAATTTTCACAGTGGTTACTTTACCCCACATTCAAGTTAAGAGATGGAAGTCAAAAGAGGCCAAGCGGTTGTCCCAGTTGGCTGACCGGCAAGTGGCTGTGACACGACAGAGCCAGGATCTGACCTCACGCGTCTGACCCGGCTTGCTCTGCTCTCTGCACGGTACTGGGCTGCTTGACTTGGGAAACCAAAAGACTACTTAGAGGGAATGGTTGCTTGACGTTTTAAAGTATGGAAACTGGGTTACTTTCAAGGCGCAGTGAGTCCTGCAGCTCAGAGCCTAAAAAAGGGGCAGGATGACCCTTAAACACCAACAAGGATGTCAGACAAAATCTTACTGGCAAATTACTGACAAAAACCAGTCCCCCACCCTTGCCCGTGCATCAATTTAAAGGACATGAACAGACCATTCAAGCATAAACAAATATGTAATATGCAATATGTATACATATAACAAGCAAGTAATTAGGGTGCAAATTAAAATAACCTCGAAGTATAATTTTTCACCTACTAAGTTAGTAAAAACGTGCCTAGTGTGGTGGCTTGGTGTTGAAGCCACTCAGCTCACACTCTGTAGAAGAAGCGTGTGTGGACGCAATCTTCTTGGAAAGCAGTACGGTGACCACATTAGGAGGTACGGCCAGGGTCACACCCTTCCCTTCCAGGTGGTCCCCCTGCTGCTGGGGTTTCTGCTAAGGAAATGATTCAGGGGCAGGAAACAAGAGCTATCCACGCAAAGCTGGCTATAATAGGGGAGCGGCTTGGTAAACTACGTATATTAATTTGCTGAGGAAATCCTCCACGGTCACCAGCAGTGGCCACTGTGAAGACCACCTGGAAACACCAGAAGGTGTGATAAGAGTGTGTGGAAAAGTTCAGCACGAAATGTTACGGACGCTATGATTATGGCTACAAAGGTTATGTCCTATGTGGGTGAATAAGATTTGGAACATGGAAAAAAATATCTTAAGTGCTTGCATTAATTGGATAGATTTTCGTTTTCACTATTTCACTATTTTAAGGCAAGAATGATCCTAGGGGGTCCCTTTGTACATCTCTGGACATCAAGCTTTTCTCATCCCTGGCCACGCCCTGGACAGGGAGGTAGCAGGACCCCTGGAGGGACAGCTCACAGATTCCCCCCGCCTTCACTCGGGGTGTGAGGTGCACGGAGAGCTCACTAGACACTCCACGGGGAGGAACGGAGGGGCGGGCTGGTGTGGATCGGCTCAGTCAGGGGAGCAGGTCCCTGCAGAGGGGCCACTGCGAGCTCACAGTGGGATAACTGCAACCTGAATCATCAGGATCTGGAGGGCCCCCCTCGGAGGAGCGGTGTAGTTGGGCCAGGGGGAGGGCAAAGACGCCGGCATCCACTGTGCATCCGCCCCAGCCCTCTGCTACGGCTCTGCACTCACGCAACTCACGTCAGCCTCACCGTGAGCTAACCCTTGAGGTAGATATTTTAGAAACTCCCTTTACAAGTGGGGAAACTGAGGCCCAGAGAGGCTACCGGGCTGCAGAGACTGGATGGCGCTCTTGGAAGGGGTGATCAAAGAGGGTGTAGGGAAGGGGTTACTTGGCAGGTGTGGGACAGTGGTAAGGGAGACTCGGCTTGGATACTGAAGAACCCCTGGGCTAGCAGCAGTGGGGGGAAGCCCAACTTCCCCCCGGGCTGAAGGGGCGGGGGAGCCGGCAGGGATCAGCTGCTTGATGATGGATGCAGCCTCCGCTCGCCTTGGGAGGTGGCCGGCCTCCTCTCACCCCACTGTCTGCAGCCTGTCCCTCCACTGGCCGGACAACTGGAAACCCTCTCGTTCCTGTCCATAGAGTTCAACGTTGGCCCTTCCCGGGCACATAACAGGGCAGAGTGTGGAAACAAGGTCTCAAAGGGCAAACACGAACGTCAACACAACCGCCAGGCTGGTAGGCGGTAAAGACTGAGAACGAAGAGACTTTCTAACATCAAGTGCGGAAGCATTCCTTTTCCTGACTATTCTCAGCAACTAGGAACGGAATGAACAGAGGGGATCTGGTCCCCAGCTCCCCAGCTGGAGCAGTCCCTAGTATTGATACATCATCTCAGATGGGCCACTGGCCAGTCTCTGCCCGACCGCCACTGTCCTGGGGAGCTTGCTCCTTTCCGAGGCAGCCTGCTCCATTTGTAGACAGAAACAACATAAAAAGTCTGTCCCCAAAACAGCCCAAATCTACCTTCCTGCAACTCCCAGTTTGAGTTCCAATTCTGCCCTGGGGAAACACAAAAGAACTTGAATTGTGCTTCTCAACTCTTTTTCTCAGCATTCAGAGATGTACGGTCCGAACACTATTCACTCCTCCAGCCGTGCCTTTCACTTGGTGCCCCTGGCGTGTGTGTCCCCTGTAAGGGAAGACATCCTAGAAAAGGACCCCAGTTGGAGGACCCAGTGAATAGTTTATTTGGAACTAAGCCCGGGTGAGCCATGTCTTCAGTGAAGTGTGCTGAAATACCTACGCCAAGCTCTGTGCCAGGCACTGGAGAGAGGGTGATGACTCAGAACCTATGCGGTCTCTGCCCCTGGGGAGCTGACAGCCTCCCGAGGAAAACAGACAAGGTGGCAAGCAATTGCGGTACGTTAAGGCCACGACACGGGAAGAATGAGGTTCTATCTGAGCACACAGTATGTCTTCCCACCTTGTTGTGAGAGCCCAGGGAAAAGGTTAACAATAAAACCAGCTTCCTGAGATTGCCCACCAGGCAGTCTAAGCCTATGCTTGTTAACACCAGGAAACAGGAGCACTAAAAATAATTTTCAAAAAAACGGGTATTTCAAAAACATTTTAAAGAATCGATACAATCATCAACAGAAAAATCACCACAACTTTCTATATTTTCTTATTCTTACTTGACAGTTTTTTTTCTTTTATTTTGATTTACATCTTGAGGGCACCCTCATCTTTCATTTGCAGGGCCTCTAAAATCTGAGCGTACTACCCAGAGCCAGTACTTCGCTACTGTTTTCACATCTCTGCAAAAGTCCCATTTTACAGATAAAGAAACTGAGGCTCAGTGACACAGTTCTGTGTGGTGCACACAGGACTCAAAGCCAAGTCTGTCTGGTTGCAGACCCCGCACTCTGTCCCACAGGTGTAACAGGAACCATCATGTCACGCCTCCCATTCCAGAGCTGTGGGCCCCACAAGACACCACCTTGAGCCACCAGGTGGGAGAGAAAAAAAAGACCTGTGCTTTGGGATTTTTGGAGCAGTGAACTCTCCTTCATGGCGGGAATCCGTGGACCACCCTTCCTTCCTTTCACGAGTTTCCCAGGGCCCAACCTTCAACCCACAAGCATTTTTCCAGGAAATAATGACCACTCCTACCTTGCGGCTCAGCCTTGGTGTCCAGTCCAAGCACAGAATCTTGGTGAGTGGGCAGTTGTGCTGCTGTGCCTGGGGCCCGGCCGTGGGGTGAACAGGGCAGAAACCCAGACCTCTCCACTCACCCTGCTGTGTGCCCTGGGGCTGGTCTGCGATGTAGGGAAGATGGGCTTCTAATTTGCACAGAAGTGTGGTCAGGGCCTGAGGTGTTACGATGGGAGTTTGTTCTCAGCTCTGTTGCTTCTGGGGGCTTTGAGACCACAGAAAGCAACTTTCACCGTAGAAGGAAAATAAAGTCTCAGCCTTGGCTGGCAAATCCCAAGGATCCTAACCTCACTCCCCCTGTGGTCCGGACATCAGATTCTCTGTCCTGGCCTTTGGTTTCCGCTTCCGTAGCCGAGTGCATGGGGAAGAAATGCTGACCTGCAGGCCGCCCCATCCTGAGAAGAAGCCAAAGGAGCTTTCTCGGACATTTCACGGCAACGGAATAAAAATAAACCTTGGTGTGCTTGCAAATTCCAGAGAGGGAGACAAACAGCAGCTCGGCTGCAAGCTGACTGACAGTGCACGGGAGGGACCTGAGGGAACCGGGCTGCCACTGCCCCCGACCGCTGCCCCCTGGCCCCTGCCCACTAGCTGGGGGACTAGAGCTGATGGTTAGAAGCCAGACGCATCAAGCCCAGGCTTCCTGTCCGTGTGGCCTCCCTGCACGGGAAGGCGCAGGATGTCGGGCAGATCCTGTCTATTTATCTCTGACGCTCCCAGAATGGAGGCTTTTACTCAGCCTGAGTAAGTGAGCAACCAGCCATTAGGGGGGCATTCGGGGGCAGCGGGTGATCGCACCCCTGGGTGGAACCGGAATCCAGCTTGGAGCCATCTAGGGGCTGGGCAAGCTCAGCTGACCAGAGCGAGGCGAATAATACCCACCATTGACTGAGCGCCGTCTGCATGCCCATTGTGAAGGACTCTGGGTGCCTGTCAAGGGCTTTGGAACTGTTCTGATCAGGGACAGGGTGCAGTGTGAGTGCGGTTTTAGAGAGATGGCGTCTGGGGCCGGATGGAAGGCAGGAGGAACCGGTCAGGAAGGAGGACGGATGCTCACCCAGGAGATGGCAAAGGCCTGGATGGGGTCATCAGAGAAGGGGCAGAGGAGGAGAAGGAGGGCCAGAGAGGACCCCAGACGGAACCTGGGGGCCGGTTCTCTGCCAGGTTGTCTGTTGCAGGTGGATGAGAGGGCAGGACCCAAGACAAGTGCCAGGATGGGGCTTGGTGACAGGGTGTTTTGGCCCCTTCCCCTTCTCTAAGTTCTGCAGAGACCAGGAGTGACACCTTCCTTGTAGGTCTCCTTTGCTTCCTTTTACTCCCTGCTCCCACATCCTGCCAACTACCGGCCAGGGGGGCTGGGCCCGAGACAGCCGTCCCTGAAGACGTGGGGTTGGACGGCGGGCCCTGAGACGCCCACCGTGACTACGGGCGTGGTGGAGTTTCAAGGACACACACACACAGGCACAACACACAGCTGTGGTTATGAAGACCCACAGTGACTTTGCAAGGGGCTGTGGCACAAACAGGGCTCACACCCAGCAGAGGCAAAGGGCTGCCTTCCGTCCCCGCGAAGGAAAGCACAGCCCCTGGGTCGTGCGAATGACTCCTGCACCAAGACGCCCACGGCTTGTCTACCTGAAACAGTGTCGATCACTAGACCCTAAGACGTGGGCACGTTTCAAAGTTGTGCCACCAGTGTGTGAAATGGGAGTCTGTGTTTTCTGCACTTCGCTCCATTTTCCTCCATCAACGTACCAGGAAAATAGGCAAGGGTGACAAAGAGGCCTTCTTCTCAGCAGCTTCAAATGCTGACCATTAACACTCCATTTCCCTGGGGAGTTTCTTTTCAATGCTCCTGACTGAATGCAACTGGGTTTGCAACTCCCTCCCACCCACCCCCCACCCCCCGCCCCCGGCCCTGCCAGCACAGAGCATGTAAGGACCTCTGCATAACAAGTCTGCCTACTGCTGGCGACGTTTAGCCACAAATGTGAAGCAGGGCGGACGGTTCTCGTGACAGTTGTCACTGCCCTCTACTGTCCACAGTAAACATTTCCTACCATCTTTACCCACTGAAGACCTTTTGGTCCAGCAGATAATAGTTCAGGCCTCTGGTGTGAGGCCATGTGCCGAGGGACATCGTCACCCCATCTAACCTCAGTGAGCTGCCAGGAGCAATCGTCCTGAGAAGAGATGTAGGGACACCCCCGGGGACAGAATGTTCTCTGTTTTGTCAACGATGTCTGACTTCCAGGAAATAATCAAAACCTCTGCCTGTGACTGCTTTTAGGAGGAAGGGCTTCACTTTCCTTCCAGGCTCCGCTGCAACGCTACCTGCTGGGGATGCTTTCTCGGAGGCCCTGTGTGGAAGCGTGAATTCTCTGTCTCCCCTGTGCCCTCGTGATGGCGTTTTTACCTGTCCCTCCCTCCTGCTGCCTACTTCTCACGCTCTCCACGTGATGGGAGCCTTCCGGGGAGGCGGGGTGGTGGTGGTGCAGAGGCCAGAACAGAGGCGTCCTGAGTTTACTGGACGCCTGGCACAGTGCTCAGTGACTACCCACTGCGTTGAACTGAGTCGCAACAAGGCACGCGACCGTGATGGCTGAAGCTTGTATTCATGTTAGAAGTGAATGAACGGTGAAAAAGGTAAAACTACCAAAACCCCAAAAAAGGGAGCTTCAGTCTGTTCTTCTGCCCTAAGTCTAGAGGACTCTGCCCGGTGCCCAGCCTGGGACCATGCTCTCCACTGCAGAGGGAGGCCCGCACTTGAGCAGGTTCAGTGACAGGTGGGCTGTTCCTGCCACACCCTCAGAGGTTCTCTCGCAGCAAGCCACAGACATCAGGCACCACACACGCGGCGGGCGTGGGGCAGGAAGGCACGCAGGGATGAATGGAAGAGAAGAGGGACAGGATCGTAGCAGGAGGCACCTTGCGCTAAGAGCCAGTCAACAGGTGGGCATCAAGAGGGTGGGGGCTTCCCTGGTGGTGCAATGGTTGAGAGTCCGCCTGCCGATGCAGGGGACACGGGTTCGTGCCCCGGTCCGGGAAGATCCCACGTGCCGCAGAGCGGCTGAGCCCGTGAGCCATGGCCGCTGAGCCTGCTCGTCCGGAGCCTGTGCTCTGCAATGGGAGAGGCCACAACAGTGAGAGGCCCGCGTACCGCAAAAAAAAAAAGGGTGAACGTTCTAGGAGAGTGACCACGGCACAGAATGCGTGGCCGGCCTGCCCGTTTCCACGGCTTCGGGTACAGGCAGCTGGCGGGGCTGGAGAGAGGCCGGGACAGGCAGGGGGAGCCTGCAGATGAGCTGTGGCTTGAACAGATGCCGAGCAGGTCTGTTGCTCTCTCGCTCACTTCAGCCTCGTCCCCCGGGGCTCCCACTGCCCGTCCCTGGCTCCAGGTCAATGAGCACACCTGTTACCTTCATCCTAGGAGCTCCTGGAGGTCAGGCCTGTGTCTCACCTCCGCATCCGCTCTGTGGAATGAAGAAGGAGCCATGGGATCCTGAGCCCTGCCCGTCTGACTCTTCCTCCTGTTTCTTGAGATTCACCATTTTCCCCAAGGCCAGGGCGGGATATAGGCCTGGCACTAGCAGGTGCCGCTCGGCTCCCTCTCCTGCCCAGGTCGGGGGAAGTGGGAGAAGCAAAAACCCCTCCATTTGACTGAGTTTACCAAGCAGTGACTAGACAAAGTCAGTTATTAAAACATAACAGCATTATCTTTTTGCATACCTGGACCTACAGCTATATTTCCTCCTGTTATTCTCACCACCAGCAAAGCCCTGACTAGAATATGGAGGTGTAAGAAGAATCAGAATCAAGTAAGCCGAGGGATAAGATGTAAAGAAAGAGGAGTCGGGACTTCCCTGGTGGCGCAGTGGTTAAGAATCTGCCTGCCAATTCAGGGGAGTTGGGTTCGAGCCCTGGTGCGGGAAGATCCCACATGCCACAGAGCAACGAAGCCCATGCGCCACAACTCCTGAGCCTGCGCTCTAGAGCCCGCGAGCCACAACTACTAAGCCCATGCGCCACAACTCCCGAGGCTGCGCTCTAGAGCCTGCGAGCCACAACTAATGAAGCCCGTGCACCTAGAGCCTGCGCTCTGCAACAAGGAGAGCCACGACAATGAGAAGCCCGTGCACCGCAACAAAGAGCAGCCCCTGCTCGCCGCAACTAGAGAAAGCCCACACACAGCAACAAAGACCCAATGCAGCCCAAAATAAATAAATATATAAATTAATTTATATTATAATAAAAAAAGAAAAAGACAAAAAGAGGAGGTGGCCAGACAGTCTGGGAAGAATGACCAGTGAGAACGAGTTATTGATGGGGTCCCTGGTGGCTGCTGGGAAAGCAAGGTAGCAGAGCTGGGTGCCACAGCCAGGCTCTCGGGGGTCAAGAAGAGATGCATGGTGAGGGGGCTCCAGTAGAGACAGGTGGCAGGGCCAGGTGGGAGGAAAGCAAGGAGGATTGGCAAGACAGGGTTTTTCCAAGATCAGGAAGACACGTGGCTAGGTGAGGGCCTGGGAGGGAGGCTGTGGCGGGACTGGACGAGAACCCAGGGGCCACGGGAGACAGAGGATGCGCTGGGAGCTAGAAAGCAAATGGAGGGCTTGGCCCTGGAGGGAGAAGCCAGCAGAGCAGGAGTGGAGGGGATGGAGACAGACCCCCACATGAACAGGGAGAGGTTCACGCGGAGGGCCCTGGCTTCTCTGTTCGCTGGAAGGCAACACGATGTGCGCAGGGTTCGAAGGAAGCGCGCACTTAGCGGATCTGGGGCAGCCCGTAGACAACAAGCCAAGAAACCCGAGCAGCGGCGGCAGGTGGCAGAGGGGTTGCTGCCGCCTCCAGAGCATTGGTGCTGACTGCTGCAGACCCCACCGCCCAGGGCTGCTACTCCGCCAGGGCGATTCACACACACCGTCTACGTGCAGGATCCGAGGCGGGGGGGTGGGCGGTGTTCTGTTATTCTCCCCATTTTACAGATGAGCAACTGAGGCTTCAAAAGAGCAGGTGACTTGCCAGGTGGGAGCTAGGATTGAAACCCAGGTCACCTGTCCTCTGAGGGATCTTGTGTGGACCCACCTGTCAAGCTCTGTGCCTTGTGGCCCAGGAGCAGGGCCAAAGCCGAGACACTGAGGGTGCTGCCTGGAAAGGAGGCTGCTTTGTGGGACCCAGGTGGGAACCCCCAAACCCAGGGAGCTGGGATATGGCAATGGAGAGCCCTGAGGGAGGCCAGGAGGTCACAGTGAGTGCCCGGAGGCATCGGTGCCCGGGGGGGCTGCTAGCACATGAAGATGGGAGGTGGCCAGGGTGGGAACAGACTCCATGGACTCAGTATCGGACCTGAGGAAGTGGAGGACGGCAGTGCACTGACCGGTACGGGGAGCCACGGTGACAGTTTCACCAGTCAGCTCATCGCACGCCCCTGAAGGCTACAATTCCTGCCACACACCTAAACATCATTTTGCCTTTGCTCCTGTTGGTTCTCTGGACTTCTATTTCCTCGAGAGGAAGTCCGGAGAGGAGGCATGACCCGTCTGTATCTAGGAGCCGGACCTCATCTAATCCTCACAGGAACCTGAGAGGGAGGTGTTATCACCCCTTCCACACGTGAGGAATGAGGGGACACAGCAGTCAAGATCACATGGCTGGGAAGTCAGGGGGGCCAAGACCGGAGCTCGGGTCTGTGTGTTAACATGCACGGGACACAGCCGTGGTGATGCCAGCAAAGATCTTGGGAGGACTGCGTCAGTGATCAGGCAGAAGAGAAACCACGTGTCCCGGGGGTGCCCACCCCCACGCCGCCTGCCCCGACACCCTAGCGCTGCCAAGAGGCTCAGCCTCACTCCTCTGCCCCCGGCTTCAGCAGGATCACGAAACCAGGTCAGGCGGCAGGTACACGGCAGAGGCACGAGGAAGCCCCCAGCTCTGCCCTGCTGGGCTCTGCAGAGGAAACAGCATGGGAAACCAGAGCACCTCGAACCGACTGTGCTGACGGAGCGGGAGGGCCGCTGGGGTCTCACACCTCAGGAGGGAATTGAGAGGGGCTCCGGGAGGGGAAGGTACGTACTTGACATTGGTGTTGGTGCAGATGACGTACTCGATCTCATCAGAATAGGGGTTCTGGAAGGTGAAGCTGCTGGTGCGGATTAACACCCACTCCCGGTTCTTGGTGCGGAATCGATACATGACCGACAGCACTTGGCCTTTCAGCTTCACCACCTGAGCAAACATTTGGAGAAGGGAGTCAGCAGGAGGAAGGATGGTGCCAGACAGAGGAGGGGGAGGCAGCCAGCGGGAGCTCAGGACAGGAGCATCGTAGCCAAAGACAGGCACGGAGGGAGGGTGGGGGTGGGAGAGAGCGGTCACCTGACGGGAGCCCTCTGTCCACTTCCCCTGTGAGGCAGGGCACTGCATTTAGGTTGTTCTGTTGCCACCGTGTGAGAAACCAACTAGTCAATGCCCATTTGATATCAGAACGTTTCGGCGTTTACAAATCAGATCATGAGAACTCTGCAAGCTGGAGGGTTTCCCTTTTTGCCTTGGCTGCTAGGGCGCTCTGGGTTTGGTGACAGTGCTCCTGTGAAGTAAGGCTCTCATACTCAGCTATGTCGTGACATTGTATTCATGGGTTTATTTATTCATACCTCTCATTAAGAAATTCTTAACCTCTGTTTAACATTGTAGATTGGATTAAATATACTCTCTGGGAGGAGATAAAATAAAATAACTAACTTCTATGCATTATCTCTTTGTATGCATGTATCTATTATTACCCTTTTTTTTTTTTTTGGCTGTGCTGTGTGGCACGAAGGATCTTAGTTTCCTGACCAGGGATTGAACCCGTGCTCCCTGCAGTGGAAGCGTGGAGTCTTAATCACTGGACTGCCAGGGAAGTCCCTCTACGATTACTTTTATGTCGCAGTATGGTTTCCAGAATACTTCCAAATGTAAACCCTCACAAGAACTAGGTGAGGTGGGCTTTACTATTTACAGAGGATAACGCTGAGTGTCACAGAAATAAGTTGCCCAAGATTGGACAACTTTGGTGGAAAAGCTGGGACAGGAACCAAGATCTTGCTTCCAAACCACAAGTGTGTTTCAGCGGACACACGGCTGGCTTTCCTGCTCTGTGCAGACACATACGATCTATCACACACAGAAACCTGGAGATGCGGAGGCGGGCGGGCGCAGGTGCAGAAAGCGGCAGTTCTCAGGGGCAGTTCTCGGCTGAAGCAGGAACGTGAGGAGAAAGGACGCAGATGGCTGGTGCGTCTGGGCCTGGCTGTGCTCATGCACCCAGGACAAAGCAAGGCAAACAGGAGGGCCCCCTCCTGGCCTTCAGGATGGGAAGGCCCCAGGCACTGGGCAGCGGGCCGGCCCGACTGCAGACCATAGCGTGACCAGAGATGAGAATGGGGACCTGGTCCTAGGGGTCGGGGAGGCACTTGTGCTTTATTCCAGGTTGGATGTCAGTAGCCAGTCTGGGGGCAGGGACCCCTCGGTCACTGAGTCTCCCCCACCCTCAGCCCAGGGCCCGGCACAGAGCAGGCCCCTCAAGCACATTTCCTGAGCCGACCTGATGCATCTTTGGCCCCGTGCCCTGGGCTGATGCAGCCGGAGCGGCCATCCTCTCTCTGCACCACCCCTGGGGAGCAGGATGAGATGAAACCTGAGGGTGCTGGGCTCCCTGGTGGGAAAGTCCACGTGATAAAGAAACCAGACCAAAAGCGCAAGGAGGGGAGACCCTTCCTGACACCTCACGTGAGGAAGCACAGCCGTGGGGCGAGGCCAGGCCGGGAGCTCAGGGGTGCCTGCCAGCCGGCCTGCAGACCCAACAGGAAGCTGGCCAGAGGTCAAGGCCACGTGCCCCTCAAGTCGATGTTCTGAGGGGTCCTCCTCTGAGTCTGCACAAAGCACACGGGACACAGGCAGCACCCCCGTCGTGAGACCACGTCTTCCACACTCTGAAGCTCGCGGATGGAACCTTTTCATGTTTCCTCTAAGCAGGATGCCTGAGATGGTGTGAAATTTTTTAACTCCATGTAACAAACACTCCCAAGGCACGGCGTGTGCAAGCTCAGCCCTTGGAGCTGTGGCTAAAGAGCCGGGGGAGGGAGCGCAGCCCTGCACCCGCCTCGGGGCCGACGGGCAAGCATCTTGTGCGTGTTACCTCACGCAGTCCTCACAGCAGTATTTTGTGTAACTGGAAACTGAGCCTTAAAGGAGTTAACTATCCTGCCAAAGCCTTATGACTAAGGAGGGGCAGAGACAGGATGGGATCCCAGGTCTACCTGACCCCTGTGCCCCTTGTCTTTTCTTGAATCACTATAGCTGAGACAGAACACTTGTCCCCAAAGAGCTTCTCACCTAGCACAGGCAGGGCAGGTGCATGGGTAACTGTAACTCAGAGAGAGCAAATACCACTACAGAAACATAAGATTGAGGCAGGAGATAGATGGGTCCCAGGCTCAGCAGCTGGAGTTTGCCCCGCTGTGGGCAGACACTCCAAAATTGCAGGAGTGAGAGACGAGCTGGGCCCCGCCCAGATAAGAGATAAAAGACCACATATTCCTCACCCTCGAAGTCAAGGAGACCTTCCCGACTACACACGTGCAGAAAGGCTCCTTGGAGGTCAAAAAGGAAAGGGGAGCCACCCTGTAGTAGGTGATGTCAACCTACCCGTAGGCCTCTTCACTAGAATCCACCTTGGCTAAGAGATGCGTGCACACATGGGAGGACCCTGAGATAAATCAAATACGGACTCAGAACCGGGCAAAGCAAGGTGACTGGACAAAGGAAACGGGAAGAAATGCCCCCTATAAGCGATTCTCTCTCTGAGCCTGCCCGTGTGTCTATCCACACATATTCTTTTTCCTAATGAACATTTTACTTGTTTCACTGCTTTCTGTCATTGTGGGATTCTTTTCTGCAAAGCTGAAGGGCCAGGGCCTTGTCACTGGCCACTGGTCTAGTGGCTAGGATGTGGTGCTCTCGCTGCTGTGACCTGACCTCAATCTCTGGCCGGGAACCGGAAGCCCTGCTTCAAGCTGCTGCAGGCCGAGGCCACCTGAGATCAAGATCAGGTGCCACAGGTTACCAGCAGGTCGAGGAGACAGCCTTTCCCAGGATCCAGAAAGGGTTCCTGGAGGGAGATGGGTCTGGGTAAAATGTTGGCAAGTGAACACGCTGCGCCTTCTGGGGAGGGCTCTCCTGGCAGAAGGCGCAGCGTGAGCAGATGTCTGGGGGCGGGGAGACCTGAGGTGCGATGGGGGATGAGACTAGGCACGTTAAGGCAGTGTGGGTATCACAGTCCAGGCCTGGAGGCCAGGCTGGTATGTTCAACTGCGCCTTATTCAGGTGCGATGCTAGTGTCCTAGATCACAAAGGCCAGGCATAAACCCAGCCTAGCCCAGCTCTTCCTGAGAACAGCTTTACTCATCACCACCACCACTACTACCACCGTCACCACTGAAGGCATCTGAGCAGAGAGAAGAAGGAACCTGTCTTAAATCTCACTGGGTTCCACTCTTTCATCTGACTTCTAGGTCAGCTGGGATCCAGAGAGGGAATCCAAGAGCAGACACCAGAGCGAACTCAGGATTCCCAGCCAACCTCACAAACCAACCTCAATATTCCTCACAAACTCGATCCCACTCTAAGGTCTCATGTCAGGGCCATTCAAATACTTTTGTTTAAATCCAGAGTTCAAGGGCTGACTCCGAACTGACATAGCCTTCTCCGTGCTTTTGCAAAAACAAGCCACTTCCCTTTATCAACATTTGTCCCTCACCCCGACCACTGGTGGCTAGAACCCAAAGAACACAAGCGAGGGGCCCAGGCCTGGCGCTCCCCAGGATGTCCCTGTGGCTGCTACCTGCTGCCCGCTGAGCCCTGTGACCTGCCCTGGCTGCCGCCTCTAGGGCGTGGTTGCTTTGGCTTTGCCTCCTGCCTGAGGAATGAGGTGGCTGCTCTCAGAGCGAGCGTTACTTAAGCCAGATACCAGCGTGGGATCGATGTTAAATTCCTTCTTTTTCTTTCAAAATCTCAGGGGTGCTGTCAAATGGTGAGGCCGGTGTGGGGCTTTGGTGATGGGGATGAATGCTTTGGAAGGAGGCAGCCTCCAGCCCTAGATCTGTTATTGCCTTGCTGTGTGACTTGGGGCAGGTGACTGAACCTCTCTGAGTCCTGGTTTCCACTGCAAAAACGTGGGGGTGATAATATACTGTGAAGGATTGAGGATCATATAGGATAATGTATGACAAAGGGTCTGGCTGGTTACCAACAGTGATTGGTGGGGGGTGTCCCATCACTGTTAGAGCTTCATTTCCATATGAAAACGAAGCCAACCCAGTCCAAAGGGGACAATGCTAGACCACACAGTTCATAATAATTTCCACATATTTAGCAAAGATGGCATAAGAGATACACTATAGCAGTGTTTATTGAATGTTTAACCATTCCGATTTCCCATTTTTTCTGAACTGAAAGTCACCTGCTGTGGGTGATGGTCCATTTAGACTACTTTATTAAGAGCAGCCACATGCAAACACCACAGCCAGTGGTGGAGACGATGGTGAAAAGCACAGATGTGGAGCGTGCCCACAGGGAGCTTATGTTTTAGTAGAGGAGACAGAAAAAAAAAAAAAAGGAAATCAACGGACAAAGAAAAAAATTGAAAACTGGAATAGTTGCTGTGGAGGAAAAATGAGGGACTGAGAAGGAGGTTAGGGGATCTTTCTCAGCTAGGGTAGTCACTGATGGGGTCTCTGAGGTGACAGGAGTTAAAACCTAAAAGCTAAGAGGTGTCAGTCACGTGAAGAGTGAGGGTCAGAGGAGACACGTGCAAAGGCCCTGAGGTGGGAGAAAGCATAATGTGTTCAAGGAACCAAAAGAAGGCCAGGGTGGCCCATGTGTAGTGAACACATGTGGATGAGACACGCAGGGCAAGGTTCCTGCAGCCGTGGTGAGTAAGGGGCTTGGACCTGCTTCTAGGTGCACGGGAAAGCCGTCGGCACTTTTTAGGTAAAGATGTGGCAAAATCTAATTTACGTTTTCAGAATGGTTTGGCCTGGGACAAGAGTAAAAGCAGGGAGACCAGCCAGGGAGCTGTTGCAAAAGTCAAAATGAGAGATATGGACGGGTGGCCTAGGCAAGGTCAGTAGGAGCGAAGAGAGGGAGAACGGGGCGGGTTACAGGTGTCTCTTGAGGTGTAACAGGGGCACTCGATGGGCTGGATGTGTGGAGGGAGATCAAGGGAGGAGAGAAGACTGTTTCTTGGTTTCTGGCCTTTGCAACCAGAAAGACAGTGGTGCAAGGGAGATTGTGGGCTGTGAGAAGAGAATCGAGCATTCTATGTTTGAAGGTTAACGGGCATTCGAGTGCAAGGGTGGGGTAGGTGCCTATATATCCGCAGGCGATGGTCTGGACTGAAGTCATCCAGTGGATAAAATCGCCTGGGAGAGTCTGTTTCTGTTTTGTAAATAAGTTCATTTATATCATTAAAAAAAATGAGATTCTGCCTATGAGTGATATCATACCGGTATTTGTCCTATTTACAAAACAGAAACAGAAACAGACTCACAGATTTTGAAAACAAACTTATGGTGACTAAAGGGGAAACACTGGGCGGGGGGGGGGGGGGGGATAAATTAAGAGCTTGGGATTAACATACGCACACTACTGTATATAAAATAGATAACCAACAAGAACCTACTATAGGGCTTCCCTGGTGGCGCAGTGGTCGAGAGTCCGCCTGCCGATGCAGGGGACGCGGGTTTGTGCCCCGGTCCGGGAAGACCCCACATGCCGCGGAAAGGCTGGGCCCGTGAGCCATGGCCGCTGAGCCTGTGCTCCGCAATGGGAGAGGCCACAGCAGTGAGGGGCCCGCGTACCGCAAAAAAAAAAAAAAAAAAAAAAAAAAGAACCTGCTATATAGCACAGGGAACTCTACTCAGTATTCTGTAATAACCTATATAGGAAAAGAATCTGAAAAAGAATGGATACATGTATACGTATAACTGAATCACTTTGCTGTACACCTGAAACTAACACAACATTGTAAATCAACTATACTCCAGTAACACTTTTTTTAATGAAAAAAATCGCCTGGGGGATATTAGAGAGAAGGAGAGAAGGTCAGTAACAGAGCCCTAGGGCATCATGGCTTGGAGACGCAGGCAGAAGAGGGACGACAAAGCAGTCTGACAGGTGGAAAGAAAACCAGGAGCTGGTGATGTTTGGGAAGAACAGAGCGGAGCGCGCAGGAGGGGTTATGAGATCTGCGTGCGCAGGAGGCGTGTAATTGGAGCACTAGATCTATTTGTGCAGACATACCCAGGCCTTTAATAGGAGAGCTCAGCTGTCAGAGGCCCTCATTCTGAAACACTTGTAAAGCAGAATGTCAAGGACTTATTCTCTCAGATGAATGACGAACTATTATCCCCTCTTAAAAAGTCATTTAAAGGCCCCTCTGCTGTAACATTACCCGTCCTTTTCTTTGCGGGGGCTGAAGCGAGTCGCCGGAGCCCTTTGAGAAACTGGCTCTCTCTCTCTCCTCCCAGGTGGACCCGGGCTCAGGAGGTGGCAGGTCCTCAGTGAGAAGCCTGCCCTAAGGTGCTCTTCCTTCACTGAGCTTCACTTGACTCACTGTAGCATGAAGATAATAATGCCCATCTCCCGTGACTGTCGTGAAGATTCGGGAAAGCAGTGTGTGCGAAAGGGATTTCCATAGCGCCTGGCACATAGTAGGTGCTCAATAAACAGCAGCTGATCATGATGATGCTCGGGATGCAGTCAGTGGTGTGGCCTTCCTCTCAGACCCTCACGGTCATCCTCAATCCTTCTCTCTCCTTCACTGTCTCTATCCAAAGCATCACTAACCCCACAACCGCCTCCTCTGCTGCTCCTACCCTATTTCAGGTCTCACCACCTCTCACCTGGGTGACTGAAGCAGGCTCCCAATTTGTCTTTTGTTCCAGTTATTTCGTACCCTTGTCTCTTCTGCATACCTGGGCTGCCAAAATTGTTTTTCAAAAACACTGCTCCACTTCAAATCCTCAAGGGAATCCGCACTTAAACGACTCAGGAGAGAATTTAAGCGCCTCGCAATGGCACATGAGGCCCTTCAGAATTTGGCCTCACCGGCCTCATCTTTGACCACTGCCCACCTCCTCCCCACAAGCGGGCCAGTGTCACTCCAGCCGTGAGGAGCTACTCACAACTCTCCCAAAAAGCCATGCTCTTTTGCATCTCAGGTGCTGGCCCCTCAGTCTAGAATGTCGTTTCTTCTCTGCTCATCTTTTAAGACCCATCCCAATTGTTGCCTCCCCTCAGAGACTGTTCCGGCCTCTTCCCCACACTGTCAACCTCTCCCTCCTCTGCTCTTCTCCCATGAACAGAAATTCCTTCCTGACGGTCTGCCGTCCCCCCTGGACTGCGAGCCCCTTCACGGCAGGGGCCCTGACTGATGCCTTCGGTGGGACCCTGCTTGGCCTGTCTGGCACATCGAAGGACTACATCCGTGTGTAGCCAGCTTCTACGTCACCTGTAAGTGAGCACTGGTGGTACCTGCTGAAAGCTCTCCCGCAGATGGCTCTGGTCCTCAGAGTGGCAGAATTCCAAAATGTCCTTTCCCAGAAGATCCTAAATAAAGAGACAAGCTTTAATCATCTCCAATCCCACATTTCATTTTTTTATATCTCACCGTTAGACAAGAGCACTCACATACACCCCCTTCAACCCTTTAGCTCACACCATCATTAGGGGAAAAAAAGTGGATGCAAATTTTCTCTTTGAGCAATCATGGAGCTGGCGTCTGGTACGCTATCCTCAGTCCTTTCGGCATGTTCAACATCGACTTCTAATTTTGCTAAGGCATTAGAGCAGCAGCTTCAAAATGCAATTTTGGAGAGGCAAACTGCAATAAACATTTTAATGAACAAAAAGAACGCAAATGATAGCATGAGGACAGATGTGTTGCCTATGAAAACTGGAATTGTTTAAATGGGGAAACTGCAGCTCTCTCGTGCCTGCAGAAATGCTGTTATCATAAAATAAAATAACTGTACTTGCTAAAAGCCTGTTTACTACCTACCTTTGCTCCTCTATGTTTTATTCAAAGGACCCAGCATTAACCCCAAACAAAAGTGTTTTGCAATGAAACCAACTATAAAAAGATAAACCGTCAAAAGGCAAATGCGTTGTAGAAAAGTGGTCCAGTTGGAAGTGCCTTAAATGGCAAAGGATTTAAACTAAGTCATCGATCAGAACCCAAATCCGCAAATGGCCTCAGTGCGAGCGGACACTGACAGTGGAAAGGAAGTCTTATTTGTGTGCCAAAAAGCATCTAGATGCCCATGGAAGGTGCTGGTGGATAAATGGATCTGGCTGGAAACAGAGGGCCATCAGAGGTTATGGTGATTTTGGAAAGAGATTAATTTTCCCCATCATTCCAATCCAAAATCTGAAGTTTGCATCAACCTAGAGATGTAGAATTATATGAATGGTTCCAATATTTCAATTTGGTCTGTTCTAAAATATATATGTGGGCTTCCCTGGTGGCTGATAAGGAAACTGGGGCTCAGAAATGTAAAGAAAGTGGTCCACTCTTCCGGTTAGTCCAGGGTGTGGCCAAGGCAGTTTGAAACATTTTAGACTCATTGTACTCATGACCTGGAAGGATCTGTGAAATTAAATCTACATGGGGGACTTCCCTGGTGGCGCAGTGGTTAAGAATCCGCCTGCCAATGCAGGGGACATGGGTTCGAGCCCTGGTCCGGGAAGATCCCACATGCCACGGAGCAACTAAGCCTGTGAGCCATAACTACTGAGCCTGTGTGCCACAGCTACTGAAGCCCATGTGCCTAGAGACTGTGCTCTGCAACAAGAGAAGCCACCGCAATGAACCCGCGCACTGCAACAAAGAGTAGCCCCTGCTTGCTGCAACTAGAGAAAGCCCATGTGCAACAACAAAGACCCAATGCAGCCAAAAATTAAATAAATAAAATAAACAAATTTATAAAAAAATATATATATATAATTAAAATACCCATATCAACATACCCCAAACTTTTTTCCTTTTTTTTCTTTCTTTTTTGTTCAAATGCTTTTTATTTTGAAATTTTAAATCTACAGAAAAGTTGAAAGGGTGGTATAATAAACACCTGTGTGTCGTTTAGCTTGATTCATCAATTGTCAATATTTTGCTACATTTGCATTTTTCTCTTTCTTTCATATATATGTAAACATAAATATATAAGTGAAACATAAAATATATAGAAATATCTTTCATATACACATGTATTTTAAAGTTTTTTGTTGAATCATTTGAAAATAATTAGCAGAAATCATGACACTTCTCCCTGAAATATGTATCTCATAAAAATGACACCATCTCACAAATCCATAATATACCATATTATGCCTAAAAAAAATCAATAGCTATTTGATAAAATCACCCATTATTCCATACATATTAACAATCCTCCCAAACATCCTTTATAAGTCTTCAGGCTGAGGACCCAATTAAGGCTCTTACATTACATATTATTATTTTATCTCTTTGGTTTATCTTAATTTGGAACAATCTCTCCTGCCTTTTGGTGTTTCTTATGACTTCTGTGTTTCTCATGGACTTTTTTTAAAGAAAGGCCTTGAAAATGTGCCCCCTGTAAAAAGAGTTTCCAAATACATTTGAGAAACAAGCAGTTAGACAAAATTAATTGAACATCTTTAAGACTTTCAGCATCTTTCACACTAATATACTTTTGAAGTTTCTAAGGAGATTTTCCATTTGGTGTTAATCAAACTTAATTGATCAGAGAGCCTCTTTTTCATAGGGCATCTTAATTCTAGTTTTGAGAAAAATCATTTAGATTAAACAAAGTGGGTAGGGCAAAAAATGGAGAGTTAATTTTAAGCAGTGCAGTGGCATACAATGTTCTTTTTTGCTTTGGAAGGACATTACTGTACCCAGGTAGGGAGATGGATTTTTATCCTGTGTTTCCCTATATTGTGATGTACAATATCTCAAACAAATGAAGTAGGGGCATTTTAAGTAAAACTAAATCTCTAGCTGACTGCCATGAGCTCAAAACCACCTACCTGGGGTTGGTAGCCAATCACACTGATGCATCTTGGGTCCACAAATGTGATGATCCCGTCAGAGTTATGCCGGGATAAGAATTCCGTTGGCACCGACATCCCGCTCATGTCCATGCACACAGGAGAGCTGGTCACCTGGATGGAGAAATCCACAGGGGGGTGGTGATGGAGACTGAGTTAGAGAATGGGAAAAATCCATGTGGATTTTTAAAATAATTAATTAATTAATCAATTAGTTTATTTTTGGCCGCGTTGGGTCTTCGTTGCTGCGCGCGGGCTCTCTAGTTGCGGCGAGCCGGGGCTACTCTTCGTTGTGGTGCGCGGGCTTATTACGGTGGCCTCTCTTGTTGCAGAGCACGGGCTCTAGGCGCACGGGCTTCAGTAGTTGTGGCATGTGGGCTCAACACTTGTGGCTCGCGGGCTCTAGAGCGCAGGCTCAGTAGTTGTGGCGCACGGGCTTAGTTGCTCCGTGGCATGTGGGATCTTCCCGGATCAGGGCTCGAACCCATGTCCCCTGCATTGGCAGGCGGATTCTTAACCACTGCGCCACCAGGGAAGTCCCCCATGTGGATTTAATTTCACAGATCCTTCCAGGTCATGAGTACAATGAGTCTAAAACGTTTCAAACTGCCTTGGCCACACCCTGGACTAACCGGAAGAGTGGACCACTTTCTTTACATTTCTGAGCCCCAGTTTCCTTTTCAGTCCCTGGGAATCAGGAAGCTGTAACCTCATAGGGTGGTTGTGAGGTTCAGAGAGACACTGCACGTCAAACCCTGGCACAACACCTGGCACACAGCTGGTGCTCAGAAATGTTAATACCCCTCCCTTCCCCCACCTTCCCGTTATTAAGGATGGGAAATGAGTCTAAGGAACTGGTCAAAATATTTGGAAAGCCTATATTTGTGAACTGAATTTACCCAGTATTCTTTCTTCCCCATTTGCAAGGAATAACCAATGCTTATCACATGTGAATGGAATAGCTTATTCATCTATCTGAAAATGGTAAGACCTAGGAAACCAGGGATGTGAAAGGTCAGTGTCCTCTGAACTACAGCTGTCACGGCCCCTTCATCAGTACGGAGAAGGCCCTCGATGCCGCAAGGAGAAAGACTGAGTGGCTACTGTGTGTGCCAGGCATGAAGCCAGTGGACTTTATATACATTATTCAGCATATCTAATTCTCAAAAGACTAAAAAGACATATTTTTTGCCCTTGAGGAGCTTGCAAGGAAGGGGACTGCCCTCAACTAACTATACGAAAACAGACAGTGAAGAACTGACGTATGAACGTAACGCCAGGCGTGTAGGGAGGAGGGGGTGATTCATTTTGACTAAGCAGATAAAGGAGTCATTTCACTGGATCTTGAAGGATGAGGAAATAGGAAGTAAACACGAGGAGAAGGAGTTGTAAAAGGAGAAGAAGGGAAACAAGGAAATACCAGGCAGAAGGAACAGCCCGTGGACACCTGCAACCGTGGGGAAGTGCACGGTGGGCTTGTGGAAAGGGCATGCTGTGGTTTGGGAACAGGGCATGAAGGGGGAGGGAGGAGGTGGGGTTGTAAGATGAGTGAGTGCTTTATCCTGCAGACGATGGGGCAACATTCAAGGGGATTAAACAGGGGTGTGAAACAACAAGGTCCTACTGTGTAGCACCAGGAACTATATTCAGTACCTTGTCATAACCTATAATGGAAAAGAATCTGAAAAAGATATATCTGTCTACGCAATGGGTTGGCTAAAACGTTCGTTCGGGTTTTTCCGAAAAACGTGAATGAATGTTTTGGCCAACCCAATATCTATGTGCCTATGTGTCTATCTATGTGCCTATGTGTCAATCTATGTATCTGTCTATCTATCTATCTGTTTATCTATCTATATTTCTATTTATCTTTCTCTATATATCTGAATCGCTTTGCTGTACACCTGAAACCAACATGATATTGTAAATCAACTATACTTGAATAAAAAATATTTTAAAAACCCGGGTGTGATGTGAGCAGAGCTCAACTTTGCAGTAACTGGCGCACATGTGGGGACGGACTGACTCAGGCCCTCAGTGAAGCAAGGACAGCTTGCTTCTGCTGCCCGCAGCTCAGAGTCCCTGCCCCCCTTCTTCTCCCAGATTCAGCCTCATCCTTCTCCCACAGAGCGAGACACAGAACCCAACGATACTGAGGACACAGGAGTTCGAAAAAGGCATCCAAACCTACAGGCTCTTGCTCTTTGCAATAATAAGCCTTCCCTGGAGATCAAAAAGGCTGTGAGCTTTTTCTTACCTGGAGTCTTCCAATTGCCACAAGGCAATATTTACTGCTTTGTCCCACGTCGGCATCTTCTTCGGGTATAGTCATTCCTGAAATGAGAAATGCCAGAGTCATCAATGCCATGTCCAAGATGAATCGTAAAGGGGTAAAAGTGTCCATGATTTTATTTACACAGTCAAAGATACAGATCCACTGTTGACCCTGCAGGGTCTGGGAAGCTGCCAATGAATTAACCACCCCTCGCTCATTTCCTGCTCCTCTCTCTGCCTGATGTCTTTTGATAATTTCACGGTACATTGTCATCCGCATCTGTGGATGATGCAGAGGGATTTAAGGAAGATGAAACAAATTATTCATTTATACATTTGCAAAACTTGGCTAAAACACTTGGTTATAAGAGAAATTTCGGTAAGAAGTGTATAGGGGCACTTCAAATTATGTAAATATTTCACTTATCTGTTGCCAAAAATCAAAGACCATCAGAGGCAGAATCATAAACAAAAACAAAAAACAAAACTCACCAAAACCAAAATGACTAACTTGCCAGGGAAGAGAACATAACCAGTGTTCACCCTTCTGATGTAAAGTCAGGGTTTTCGAGGGATAGAAAGGAGAAACTGGTGATGGGAATGATGATTAAGCACTAAAAACCAGTGCTCTGGACAGGAAGGAATTGGTTAAAACAATCCTCATTGTTGTTGGTTAGAACTGTTGTAGTGAAACAAGCATTCTGCTCTGATATCTCCTAGACGAGAGCTGTTAAGTAGAAAATTCCCTTTTATACTGCATAACACTTAACGTAAGTATTTTCGCACTAGGTCAGATCGAAGGTTCACGGTGATGGAATCACGCAAGCACAGTGACAGCCCATCACTACAGACTGTGAAGGGAGTGTTAACACGACTCTAGCTGTAAGGGCCAGAGAAATGTCACTCCCTCCTCATTCCCACCACCCTCTTCACACTCCTCTCTGCCTCCCCCGCCCCCCCCCCCCCCCCCCCGGCTGGAGGTAACCAGCCCCTTATGTTTCTGCTTTATCCTTTGCTGTATTTCTTTTGCACAAATGAGCATCTGTCTCCTCTTCTCCTATGAAGGGCAGTGCACTGTAGACGCTCTTTTGGGCTTTGTTTATTTCACTTCACAGTATGTCCTGAAAGTCACTCCGTAATTATTCATAGAGCTCCTCCTTATTCTTTTTTCAGAATTGCATATTGCTGCATTATGTAGAGTAACCAAGGTTGAATACTACCACCCTCTTATGTATGAACATTTAGGTGTTTCCAATACTTTGTAACTACAAACAAGGCTGCAAAGAATAATCTTGTGCACACACACTTTCTTAAGAATTGGAGGTGTAGATACACCCAGAAGATACACCTACCCTAGAAGTGGGATTTCTAGGTTACAAGGTAAGTGTATATGTATGTAGTTTTGTTAGGTGTTGCCAAATTCCCCTCCAGAAGGAGTGTACCAATGTGCATTCCCACCAACAAGGTATGAGAGGCCTTTTTCCCCAGTCTTGGCCAACAGAATATGCTGTCATAATGATTTAATTTTGGTCAGTTGGATAGGTTAGAAATGGTATTTCAGTGCTGTCTTAATTTGCATTTCTCTAATTATGAGTGAGTCTGCACATCATTTCATATGTTTGAGGATTAGTTTTGTATCTTACCTTTTAGTGAATTGTCTATTTGTGTATCTTCCCCATTTTTTTAAAAAGGTTTTCTTTCTTTAATTTATATATTTTTTGCTGCATTGGGTCTTCGCTGCTGTGCCTGGGTTTTCTCTAGTTGTGGCGAGCAGGGGCTACTCTTCATTGAGG